TGTTGAGGAAGAGGTCGTAGAGGAGGGTGGAGGAGCAAAGTTTGTTGCCTTGGATTTGGAAGACAATGGGTGAGAGGAGAAGAGAGAGAGAGAGAGAGAGTAGAGTAGAGACAAAGAGTCAAATTTATCTGATATATGTTTAGGGACCTTAGACATCAAAAAATAATTTTGTGGATCTCTTCCATTATGAAAAGTGAGAGAGGGACCCTAGGCCAATTTTCCCTATAAAATAAAATATCAATAAAGATCCGGACCTCCTTTAGGGTCACTCTCATGACCCCTTTTGCCTTTGATTGGTTTTTTTTTTTATCACCAATCTCCCTGTGTGTGTAGGGGTCATGGGGTGGAGAGTTTGAAGGGATCTTAATTTTTTTTTTTTTTTTTTTTTTTTTTTTTTTTTTTTTAATCACCAACCTCCACGTGTGTGTAGGGGTCATGGGGCTGGAGAGTTTGAAGGGGTCTTAATCATGGCCCATAAAATATATACGTATGGATGACAGTTTTTTTGGTAGGACAACTCAAATGAGAATGCAATAGATAAGTTGTATGTTGCAAGTGACGTGCTTAAAAAGGGTAGGTAATAATTTCAAATTTCATAATCGTTCTGATTTTTATATCTATTAATTATTTGGAATTGAATGCAGTCGAAGGAGAAGGAGTTTTCTATATTGCATGAGAGACAAATGCATGAACTCTAGGTCGCAACTAGTTCCATTGATTTTTAGTTATTTATTTTTAATTTTACTATATAGTATATACACTATGCATGGCTTAGTTTAATGTTGTGTTCACACTTCGATGGATTAATGTTTTGGAATTCACTTAAATTTGGATTATAAAAAAGCAACGTTGATACGAGGATCACAAACATGATTATTTAATACACATTTGCAAGTTGTAAAAGTCTGCAAATTAATTTTTTATTGTACCTTGCTAGCAGTTTTATTTTTATTGTATTAAAAAAAAAATAAAACTTCAATTTGTTCGGTTTTGAGTTTTAAAAAATAGTTTTAAGTTTTTAATTAGTATTTTTGTTTTTGCTTTTAGTGAATTTTTTTTTGAATATTCTAGCCAATTTTTATTTTTTAGAAGCACCTAATCTATATATATTTAAAAAGTAAAATATTTGTTTTTTTTAAATTTTAAATTTTAATAAAAAAAAAATGAAAAAGTACTGAAATTTTATTATTTTTTTGGTACATTTTAGTACTTAGTGATTTTTTTTTTAACAAATTTTTTGTAATAAATTTGGTATTAATGTGTTTAAATTAAGCAGACCTAAAAGATTTTTGAAAAAATAATCAAAAACAAAATAATACTTATTCTTGCAAATTCAAAAACTTTTTTTAAAAATTCAAAATAAAAAATTCCAAAATTTATTCTCTTTTTTTTTTCTCCCATTGAGTCAGTCTAATATGAAGTTCAGTTCTATTAATTACATTTCTATCCACTTGCTAGTTTAGTCATATTTCGA